ACAGGGGCAGAACAGGACAGGACTGTACATGGACTGGGAATACAAAATAAAACAAGATATAAGGCAAGATATATAAGGCAAAACAAGAGGAGACAAAACTAAGTACTATATATGTAAAACATTGGAGATTTAGTACTCCAAGTACAGTGGGTCCTAGACTGCCTAGATATGCATGACTAAATAAACAATAATAAAACACATAGCACTTACCTACAAGAAAGAGGCAGAGGACTTGGAACAACTGCCTGCAGGAACAAACTGAAACAAAAGGATTAAAGGAAAGGGTGTGGCAACATAAAACAAATTCCAGGAACGGAATAAAGGAATGAACCCAGAAAACCCAGCATAAAGAAAACCAGACATGGAATAGAAAACCAGAAAAACCAAGAAAAACTAAACAAGTTTTTTTGTAAAATGAATACTGGATACCAGAAGCCAAGGCCTGACATCTCCAGAGAACAGAGCAGGATGTGACAGTGTCCTATTGGTTATTAATGGGCTTAGTGTGATTGGCTGTTTGTTTAGGCCCAGTTTGAATGGTTGCTGTTTCAAACCTTTGTGTGTTTACTAATGAGTTTACTTTTATACAAATACCTGGGTGTGTCTAATAAAAGTCAGTTTCTGTTCTACCCTCAAGCTGTGTGTGTCTACTGTTCTTGGGGGAGAGGTGTTAGCTGACTGGATCTTTGTGAACAGGCTGACATCTGTGGTTTGGTGGTGGGAAGAAGCTGTTTGGACGGGTGTGCTCAGTCGGGACACAGGGGACCCGTCACAGTTGGCAAATTATTTGTGAATAGTTTGACAACTAAACTGGGATTCACTTGGCACCCATAACCACCTAGCCAGAAGTGACTGGATCAACTGAGCAGTCTGCTTGCAATTCTGTCCTTAACTCAATGCAGAGTTTTCCAGCAGAAGGGGGGGCAGTGATGGGTGTCTGGTGGTACCCAGATAAGTTGTCAAAATGTTCACAATCAGTTAAAATACTTACACTGGGAGAGTGGCACGGCACGGCATTCCAGACACCATGAACACTATAGACTGCTAGAGTGATTATGGTGCTTGGAGTGATCCGAATACTCACACTGCCATAATGGGGGGGGGCAGGAGTATCTGGGGGCCAGTACCATCTTACGTTCAATAGTTAAGCTCCTGAAGTTGGGCCCATGTTGCCTGAAACGTGTGCCTCCTCTCCTACTTCTTCCAACCCCCACTCAGTACAGGAAGGTTAGCTAGGCAGCCAAGGATTAGCTAGGCAGCCAAGGATAGACTGAGATCACCCATTTAGAGTTACAGTGCATATATCATAGATCTCTAAGGTGATAGAAAAGGATACTTTTGCACACAAAGCTTTTAATTATATTTTTCCAATCTCTGGGTAAATAAACATACTCAAATATACAAACTCGCCTGTTTAAACCCATAAAAAGAAAACTGCACAAAAAGTATTACATTATTGTAATGGAACGTTGCCTTAGTCTCAGTAGGATGAGTTGAGCCACCTCAAAGTATTTCATGTAGGCATTGACTTCAGGGCTGTAGTAGTTTGAATGCAGTTTTAGATATATTTTTGATATGTGTTAACATTTAAATTGGGAGATAGATATATAGATAGGGATTCAAGCGACAAAAAACAATGCTTAACAAAACCCCTGTATATGTCTGATGCATGTTGATGCTGCACATAATTTCTGCTGTACAGACTGAATATGTTAAATTTCTGGAGTCACTGACCTGAACATCCTGAAGTATTTTCTTGTGAAATCAGCTGCAGTCTAATCAAACTGTAAAATCAAAGGTATGTGTACAGAGCACTATGCTTTAAACTACTAATACCATCACTGGAGAAATAAATCACCCCCCACAAAAATACAATTTAGTAATTGTTATTCATCCACCATGATAGTGGCTTAGCACTGTATTTGGCCCTTTGCACAAAACTTGACAAAGAGTTTTTATAGGGTCAATATCTTGTGTAGCGGAGCTCCCTGTACCCTGCCTGGGTACCTCCGCCAAGGATCGCTTCCTAGCTGGAACCATGGAAACTGCAACGCTTCTGCCCCAGTCGTCGTAGCTTGACTGGAGTCGTCCTCAAAGTTCTACTTCCTGGAACAGGGTAGAGAAAATAGCTCTATTCCCCCCAGTAACTGGACAACACACAAACTAATATTATTGAGTAGAGTTAAGCAGACACCTGGATGTTCGGGTCCGGCGGGTTCGGTCGAACTTTGAAAAAAAATCCGGGTTCGGGCTCGAACTTGAACCCGAACCCCATTGAAGTCAATGGAGACCTGAACTTTTGGGCACAAAAATGCCTCTAAAAAATTCCTGGAAAGAGCTGCAAAAGGAAGTAAAATGGGGGTAAGAGTAGGACAAGTGTCCTGAAAACAAATGTGGATAGGGAAATCACTTAAAATAACATAAAATACCTAAAAATTAAAAATACAGCTGAGCCATAAAATAGCACTAGATGGAATCTTTGATTTTAGCTTTGGAAGAACATAAATCAAAATCTAAAGCATGGCTGTCAGAAGGATCACCAGAATTATCCATTTGAGAGAGGGTTGGAGTGCAGGGTATTCTCTTTCATTGTTCAAACTGAGCTCATATGCATGGAGAAAAGGCCTTCACAAGCCTCTGCTTTTGTGTACATAGTTTATACTAAGTGACCCATAGGTTGAGGAGGCGGTGACCGTGGCGGTGTAGGTGGAAGCGGCGGTGGAGGAGGTAGCCAACACTGTTTTTTATATATATATATATATATATATATTTTTTTTAATTGAGGTAGCCCCCAAAATATTGGGGCATATAAAAAAAGAAACATTTGCGGCCTGTGGTGCATTTCTTGCAGTTCTGATGCTCAACTCCTGATGCATGGAGAAAAGGCCTTCACAGGCCTCTGCTAATGTGTACATAGTTTATACTAAGTGACCCATAGGTTGAGGAGGTGGTGACCGTGGCGGTGTAGGTGGAAGCAGCGGTGGAGGTGGAGGAGGTAGCCAACACTGTTTTTTTTTTTTAATTGGGGTAGCCCCCAAAATATTGGGACATATAAAAAAAGAAACATTTGCGGCCTGCGGTGCATTTCTTGCAGTCCTGATGCATGGAGAAAAGGCCTTCACAAGCCTCTGCTAATGTGTACATAGTTTATACTAAGAGACCCATAGGTTGATGAGGCGGTCACCGTGGCGGTGTAGGTGGAAGCGGCGGTGGAGGAGGAGGATGAGGTAGCCAACACTGTTTTTAATTTTTTTTTTATTGGGGTAGCAGCCAAAATATTGGGACATATCAAAAAAGAAACATTTGCGGCCTGCGGTGCATTTCTTGCAGTCCTGATGCATGGAGAAATGCTCAACTCCTGATTCATGGAGAAATGGCCTTCACAAGCCTCTGCTATTGTGTACATAGTTTATACTAAGTTACCCATAGGTTGAGGAGGCGGTGACTGTGGCGGTGTAGGTGGAAGTGGCGGTGGAGGAGGAGGTAGCCAACACTGTTTTTTATATATATCTATTTTTTATTTTAATTGGGGTAGCCCCCAAAATATTGTGACATACAAAAACAGAAACATTTGTGGCCTGCGGTGCATTTCTTGCAGTCTTGATACATGGAGAAATGCTCAACTCCTGATGAATGGAAAAAAGGCCTTCACAAGCCTCTGCTATTGTGTACATAGTTTATACTAAGTGACCCAGAGGTTGAGGAGGCGGTGACCGTGGCGATGTAGGTGGAAGCGGCGGTGGAGGAGGAGGAGGTAGCCAACACTGTTTATATATGTGAAGGATCCTGTTAGCTCTGTAGTACCGATCTTTGCAGCTTCTCCCGAACTCCCAGTTGAACAATAACGAAGTAGTGATTATAGCTCCTAATTCCCCCAAACATGAGTCGAGACTTCATGAAGGGGTAAAGCAATCTGATTTATTGATGGCCAAACTCAGCCTTTTATGATGGTCTCCCAGCAAGGAAACTCACACAAGGGACCTTGTGGAAAACTGTGACAAAATATACAGAACCAATCAGTTTACAGTACAATTATTAAACACACCCACAGTAACAGTGCAACCTATCCTGGAGATAATTAACTTAAGTCGTTAGATAGAACCTATATATCTCCAGGTAGAGAAAACATGTCCTTTTTACATTTTGACAAAACTGTATTAAAATCCATAACTCATATTTGGCTGAACGTAGTCTCCATGTTCCACATACCCCCAGATAGCTTGGATCTGAGCGCACAATATGGACGAATAGCGCTCCGATCTCACGAACACAGTTCTCAATATCGTCGAGTAAAGTTTTTAGTTCACCGGTTGTTCGGGAGATTGAATCCTAAAAGAGTTCCATAACTGCAGCTACCTGGGGTCGGTCTAGCTCGTATAATAGGAAAGTCCAGAACGGTAAAGTGTTGGGGAGTTATTAACCGAATGGACGGGAACTTGGTGCGCTTCAACGGTGTGCGGCTAAATAAGTGTCCGAAAACAGTTCCAGAGGGTCGACGACCATCTACCGCTGAGCGTTCAACGATTTAAAATGGTGATCGCCACGTGTTCGGCAACTGAATGCGGACCACCAAGCCTTTCATCAATTACCGCAAGGTCTGAGTGGTAAATGAGCTGCACACGACCCTGGTGGGAGGTCGGGTGGTTCGGGAGTTTGTTCGGCTCTTATACAAATACACGAAATAGCCAAACACATGAATATTTAGACAAAATGCTGTTTCCCTGAGTCTGTCCAAACAGGGATTTCATCACACAATATATATATTTTTTTATTTTAATTGGTGTAGCCCCCATATAAAAAAAAGAAAACTGTTCCGCAGACCCGTGCGTGCTGCATCTGAAACTCCACTATCACCTGCTGCTGAAGCGGGAAGGCCGAAGTTACGCTGCAGCGCAGACATGCGAGCAGCAGCAGGGTCATAAAGCCAAAAGCGTGCACAGACGGCCCGCACTTTCTGCACTTTCTGCAGCATCACAAGGGCCACCCCAAACTGGCTCAACTCCCATCAAGCCAAGTTCCCGGAGGAGATCACCCAGCTCGTCATGCTAAAGCACTTTTTCAATGTGCTCCCCAACGAGAAGGCGACGACCCATTCGTATGTCAATCAATATCAACTTTCGATGCCATTGACTGCACCTACCATGGTGACCACGGGTAACGGGGAATCAGGGTTCGATTCCGTACAGGGACCCTGACAAATGACTACCACATGCAAGAAAGGCAGTAGGCATGCAAATGACCCACTCCCGACGCGGGAAGGTAGTGACGACAAATAACAATACAGGACTCTTTAGATGTAATTGTAATGAGTCCACTTGAAATCCTTTACTCTGATCAATTTAAGGGACTGGTGCAGAGCCACTGACCCGTGTGTGCTGCAACTGAAACTCCACTATTGCCTGCTGCTGCTCAAACAGTCTTTCCAGCATGTGCAAGGTGGAGTTCCACCTTGTGGGCACATCGCATATGAGGCAGTGAGCATGAAGGCAAAATTTACGCTGCAGTGCAGACACTCCAGCAGCTGCAGGGTGAGAACGCTGAAAGCGTGCACAGACGCTACAGTGAATGTCACATCCTGTTCCAAGTTCAGTCTGGTGATGGCTTCTGGTATCCAGTACTCTTTTTACTGAAGATGCATCAGGGTCCTTGTATGTGGCTGCACAAACGCTGGTGCTCAACACCAGGGGGCGTGCGGTTACCCTGCACCAGACCCTGCTAATCCATTCCACACTGTGACTCCTAACTTCTACAACAGGCATACTGGGTCCCGATTGTTCGACCGCCGCCCAGACAGTGTCAGGGTCCCGGTCACCGGACTGCTAAACTGCGAATGGCTCGTTAAATCTGTTATGGTTCTTTTTATCGCTTCCACTGTTACTTGAATAACTGGGGGAATTCTAAAGATAGTATATGCCAACGAGCGCTAGGGGACGGCCGCTCCGCTTTTGCACCCTGCTCCCTCTTATGCTGTGCTGTTGCCACTGTGCGACCAGCGCCTCTTCCTCCAAACTTCACACGTCACTCGCATGACCTTGATTCCATGTGGGGTCTAGGACCTCATCATCCTCCACATCATCTTCCACCCACTCCTCAACCCTGCCCTCCTTGCTGGTATGCACACTGTAGAAAGCCACAGCAGTTGGCACCTGTGTTTTTCCAGCATGTAAAGTCTGCAAAGGACATATGGAAATTGTTTTAGAATTGTATCCAGGCAACAGTTTTCCCTATAAACTGACCTCTCAGTTTGACTTGTGAGGGTATTGCCCCAGAATTACAATATTGTTTAAGTACCTCTTAGCTATTGATAACTAGTTTAAATATAGCAGCTTGTTATCTGGTAGTTTCTAGTGTAGAAAATATCAATCCATTTTCTATCACTTAGATATGTTTAACAAGTGTTGTAGGTGTGAAACCATATTACAAGTGACCCATGCACTAAATTCAAATAAAAGTTACGCTTCGATTTGACTCTCAGATATGAAGAGCAGGCCCCAAAATGTACTATTTAGCAGATTAGCACCCAGAAAATAAGAATTTTTACAAGTGAGCTGTAAGCGCACTATTAGACGCTTCTATTTGACTCAGATATGAAGAGCAGGCCCCAAAATTTACTATTTAGCAGATTAGCAGCAAAACAATTAGAATGTTTACCACTGCGCTGTAAGCGCACTATTAGATGCTTCTATTCAACTCTCAGATATGAAGAGCATGCCCAAAATGTACTATTTAGCAGATTAGCACCCAGAAAATAAGAATTTTTATAATTGCGCTGTAAGCGCACTATTAGATGCTTCGATTTGACTCTCAGATATGAAGAGCAGGCCCCAAAATATACTATTTAGCAGATAAGCAGCAAAACAATTAGAATGTTTACCACTGCACTGTAAGCGCACTATTAGACGCTTCTATTTGACTCTCAGATATGAAGTGCACGCCCCAAAATGTACTATTTAGCAGATTAGCACCCAGAAAATTTGAATATTTACAACTGCGCTGTAAGCACACTATTAGACGCTTCTATTTGACTCTCAGATATGAAGAGCAGGACCCAAAATGTACTATTTAGCAGATTAGCAGCAAAACAATTAGAATGTTTACCACTGCGCTGTAAGCACACTATTAAACGCTTTGATTTGACTCTCAGATATGAAGAGCATGCCCCAAAATTTACTATTTAGCAGATTAGCAGCAAAACAATTAGAATGTTTACAACTGTGCTGTAAGCACACTATTAGATGCTTCTATTTGACTCTCAGATATGAAGAGCACGCCCAAAATGTACTATTTAGCAGATTAGCACCCAGAAAATAAGAATTTATACAAGTGCGCTGTAAGCACACTATTTGACGCTTCTATTTGACGCTCAGATATGAAGTGCACGCCCCAAAATGTACTATTTAGCAGGTTAGCACCCAGAAAATTATAATTTTTACAAGTGCGCTCTAAGCGCACTATTAGACACTTCGATTTGACTCTCAGATATGAAGAGCAGGCCCCAAAATGTACTCTTGTCCATGTTCGGGTCCGGGGTCCAAAAACCGTAATGTTCGGTACGAACCCGAACTTTACAGTCCGGGTTCCCTCAGCTCTATTATTGAGTCAAATGGAGCCTTTTATGGCCCATACAATACAATGCAGGCCCCGCTTAGGTGTCTCTGTGTCTGGGAGATAATTGAGTCAAAGACCAGCAAGTTAATTACCTCCCAGATACTTAGAGCCAAACATAAAGCGCTCTCCTGGCAGATCAGTAAGGGGGGGGGGGTCTAAACACCGGACCAAGGGAGCAAGCATTCAGGTGAATTCAGGAGAGGACAGGTACCATACCAGGGGCACGAGGATAAGCCTATTGGTGAGGCCTGGCAGGTTAATTTCCGAATGGTATCTCTGGACCCGGACAACAGTCGGTGGGCAGGAAGCCACACTCCTCCAGGAGTTTGTGGCAAAGGAGCGAAGTTATGTATCCATAATCAACAGGTAAGTGCCTATCTGCCTTTATGTTTATAATACTAGCACTGGGACTGAGAGCGTAATTTAGATTAGATAAAAAAAACTTTACACATTTTATATTAATTAACTCTGAAAAACCTTAACTCTGAACCCCTTTCCTGAAAAACCCCTTCACATTTCACATATACATATACAAGGAGCAGTTTAATTAATTGTTCTTTACATAGTAAAGGAAATATGTTCAGAATGTTTGATTCTAAGGTTCAGGCAAAATGTAGTATTTATACCTTCCTCTTGTTTATTTTCTATGATGGTCTTTTTGGTGTAATTCTGGAAATGCTGGGGTTACGTCATTAAAACTGTACCAGGTTTGTGACACCATTTGCCACATTTTAGGCAATTACACATATATAATGGTTTGGGAAAAAGATACATATATTATCACAGAGAAATAGAACGTGTTTGTATTTTTGTCTGAAGAAAATGAATATATTTTAAATTAGAACATGCCTAGCTGAATATACTCTAGATCAGTGGTTTCCAACCCAGTCCTCAAGTACCCCCTAACAGTCCAGGATTTAGGGATTACCCGGTTGTATCTAATGTGTTTTTTCTTTTCCTTTTCTAAAAACACCTTAGATACAACTGGGTAATCCCTAAATCCTGGACCGTTAAGGGGTACTAGAGGACTGGGTTGGGAACCACTGCTCTAGATGAACAAATTTTGTTTGAAGTTATGATAACTTCTTAAATTCTAGCTTGACGAATATTACAGGTTATATTTTATTTATTTATTTATAAAATATTTTACCAGGAACTGACACTCTTCAAGTAACAGATGTGGTTCAGCTGGTTGAGAACTTAACTGCAGCTTTGAGGCTTTGGCATAGAATGAAATTCCCTTTTATGCTCTTGAATTAACTTAATAAATATTCACTCTGTACATAAGGGAAGCACAAACAAGTGAATATTAGGACTCGGAAGTATACTGAGTAACTGGATGGAGACTCTCATTCAATAAATGAGGGATAAACTGTAGACTCTTTTCAGAGGGAAATGTTTTAATAGGAGGAAGCAAAAGCAAATTATTTTGTTGAATCTGAAAATGTACTGTAAGTCTGGAAAATGGGCAGACTTGGTGGCAAATGCTAACATATTTGGTTCTTGTTAAATAAAAACAGAATCACAAATTGTTTGGTCCTCCAGGATCTGTCATCGGAGTATTGATATTGAAGTTCTGCTGAGCATAAAAGGGAACACAAGAACAAACCTGTCTTTGAAGACTAGAATTAATACAACTCTTCATTGAAACAGTCAAGGAGAAAAAATATATATATTTGAAAGTTAAAGTACTAGCATCTTTGATATGGTGGTCCATGAAAGAGACAGGTAGTCCATAAGAGAGACAGCTGAGAGACACCAAAAGAGTGACAAATGAGCACAATACGGCAATGAGGATCACAAGGACATGCAAGGAAACACAAGAGAAATGGGGCCAAATGACTAGTCCTATCTATCTATCTATCTATCTATCTAAAACCTCAGCATTGGCAATAGGCACAAAACTAAATATAAAGAAGTTGATCAAATAGACAGAGGGACCATATTGAAACAAGAAAATCAATATAGATTGTGTCAGAAATGCCTCTGCCACGTGTTCCTGGAGGGGCCTGCTGGCTAGCCTTCTGTCCAAAGACTATGGGCCCTGCAAAAACCCTGTTAAAAGACTTACTTTGTGCCATTTTCCTATGCTGTTCGGGAACCGAACAGGTACACAAACCATGGACCACCCGGGAGTTTGTTAAGCTCTATCATCACCTCTTAACGATTCTAACCGCAGTGTTCTAATTGTTCGTCTGGGTGGTCACAGTTCATATGAACGACCACGAGGTGGTGGTCATCATGTTTCCGCGAACGCAGGCAGTGGTGTTTGGTCATCAAGTTCATGGAACTCAAATCGGACACGGAATCCCCCGAACACCGCTGGACTTCCATCATCGCTCGGATTCTACACCACCTAGAGGGGCACTGTTCAGTGGAATCGTTCGTCTGGATGAGTGGAACAAGCTTCACAGTATGACTATTGACTACACTGACCAAACTTGACCGACTGTTAGCACTGATTTCATGGAACTGTTTTGGGCATAGGACCATGTGCACGGTCGGTCAAATTATGACTTCCATAGAAATCCTGAACCCCTGAACCGATCTGGGTGATTTTTGGAAATGTTGGTTACCCAGATCGGGGCTATCAGGGGATGCAACTTTTGTGGGGTTTTTAATGTGTTTTAGGGGTATTTTTGGGGTGTTTGTAAATTGTAT